TCCCCCCTCCCGCTATCCCGACTTTCCCCATCCCTATCCCGACTTCCCTCCTTCCCTCCTCCCCGTATCCCGACTCTACCACACCCTATCCCGACTTCCCCACTCCCCCTACCCCGACTTTCCCCCTCACCACCCTACTTAATCAATCAATCAATCAACCAATTAATCAATGAATCAATCAATCAATCAATCAATCGATGATTTCGATTGATTGATTGATTGATTGATTGATTGATTGATTGATTGATTGATTGATTGATTGATCTTCTTCTTCTTCTTCTTACTCCTCCCTTACTTTCGCCCCTATCCCGACTTTCACACCTCCCCGGATGTTCCCCCGCCCTATCCCGACTTCCCCCCTCCCGCTATCCCGACTTCCCCCCTCCCGCTATCCCGACTTTCCCCATCCCTATCTCGACTTCCCTTCTCCCCGTATCCCGACTCTACCCCGCCCTATCCCGACTTCCCCACTCCCCCTACCCCGACTTTCCCCCTCACCACCCTACGTAATCAATCAATCAATCAATCAATCGATGATTTCGATTGATTGAATGATTGATTGAATGATTGATTGATTGATTGATTGATTGATCTTTCAATCCCCACTCCCCCTACCCCGACTTCCCCCTCATCACCCTACGTCTTCAATCAATCAATCAATCAATCAATCAATCAATCAATCAAGGGAGGGAGGGAGGGCGAGCGGGGGTGGGCGGATGCGGGCGGAGATGGGAGAAGAAGAAGAACGGAGAAGGAGAAGGAGAAGGCGAAGAAATATGAAGGAGAAGAAGAAGAAGGAGAAAGAAGAAGAAGAAGAAGAAGAAGAAGAAGAAGAAGAAGAAGAAGAAGAACAAGAACAAGAAGAAGATGAGGAAGAAGTAGACGACGAAGAAGAAGAAGAGGACGGCGAAGACGAGGACGACGACGGAGAAGAAGTGGACGACGAGCAAGAACTACAGGACGAAGAAGAAGAAGAAGTAGAGGAGGTGGAGGACTAGGATACGGAGAAAGAGAGAGAGAGAGAGAGAGAGAGAGAGAGAGAGAGAGAGAGAGAGGAGTAAGAAGAAGAAGAAGACGAAGATGAAGAAGAACCGGAGGACGACCCGAAGGGGGTGGAGGACGACGTAGA